GCTTACGGGTGGCTAGGCAGCACGGCAAGGGTTGCTCCGAGTCGAGTGGCTTAAGGACGCAGAAGATGCTGCAGGAAGCGATGGCTTGGGCATTCTCTGCCATGCCCGAGGCAAGCTCGGCATCGCTCGATCTTGGGATCTTGAATTTTCGTGTTTTAGAACCTGCAGCGGGTAAGCATGAAGCAAGGCATGAACAGATGAGGCCTTACCTTTCACCAGATCAGCTTTTCAGAAGCATGGTTTCAGCATCCTCGTATGGCCTCCATGCCCTCCCAGAATCATCGAGTTTGGATGTGCGGCTGCCTTTCACTCCAAATGCGCCATGAAAGTCAGCACGACCTGAGGCGATTGAGGTCGCCCTCCAGGAGTTGCAGCAGCGCGAACAGGAGTGCTGAGTGCCGCGCAGGTGGTGAGCAATTCCTTGCCCTGAGGATATGAATGCAGATGGTGCAAGAAGGGCCCAAGGGTCCTCGCAATTGTCCACAATTGTGTACGTGTTTAGTAAGAGTCGCGTCATATCGACCTCGGCGTAAGCAAAACACCACGGGCGCAAGATCGCAGAAGCAGGCGGCGTATGCAACACCTCCACATGTGTCGCGTAAGGAAAAACTCCACGCGCGTAAGGTGGCGTAAGCTGGTGGCACAAGCAAAATACGACACAGCAAAACATGACAAGTTTAGGACGTGGCTGAATTGTAAAGCAAGACCCCATGCAAGTGCCTTGTCGTGTCAAGAGTTAGTTTTTCGGTTTGGGCCTCTGCTCAACTTCTGCTGTGGAATGCATGCACGGACTGCGGCTCCTGCTAGGAGCTTAAGAAGCAGGCATGGCAGCGGTTGTTAGGAACGTCAGTGACCCATATGGCTGTGGGTCAAAACCAATGGTACCATTTGGGGTAGGTGCACCACCCATTTTAGTCTATTTTGGTGGTGATTGGGATGTTCACTGGGGGTGCGGGCTTTGGACCCACGGCCATATTAACTTAGCACACGCTGCAAAATAACCAAGGGAATGAGAGGGGCCAGAGAGATGTTCTTCGATGTGCAGCGGTCACTGCGGAGTCTTTCGCAGTGTTTGGCTTGCGCAGACCGCCGTGCCGAACTACGGATTCGGCAACTACGGCAACCAGAACCAGAACCAGAACCAGTTTGGCTTCGGAAATCCCAGCCGCTTGCCTCGAATCTCGAGAGCCATGCTTTCGATTCACATCTTTGGAATTGTGATGCAAGGCCAGCAGCAGAACAACTGGTTCAACCAGCCCCAGCAGAATTCCGGCCTTGGCAACACGCAGCAGGCGAGTGCGTGCTCCAAAAAAATGTTATTTGCAAGATCTAATCGAGAATGTGCTGGCCCCAGATGCCGCAAGCCTTCGGCAAGTGGTGGAATACGCAGAGAAGGCAGGCCTTTGGCAGGGCGGTTGTCCAAAGTCGGTTATCAGCAAAATCGTTGCTGAGCGGTATTGGGTTGAGATGGCATGGGGAATTTCCCACAATTGTCATGCCATGTGTTGGCCGGTGAATTTGAATGTGCCAACCTTTCCCGCAGCCCTGTCACAGGTTGTCTGACAAAAGGATGGGTGTGGATCAGGCCCGGTGCGAACAGCCATGAGCAAGCTGACCCTGGGCACGTCCGCGCAATGATTTGAGCGGTCATGTGGCATTTGAGTGCTTCATAGTGAAGACAGGCAGAACGGCCAGTGGCCAGTACTGCCAGTAATTTGTGCCTTCAGGACGGAAATCTAGTGGAGATGCCCAGGAAATTGATGAGCCACCAGGCGAGATTCTGGCAGAGCCCACCTTTGCTGCAGCAGTTGCCTTTCTCAAAGGTGGAGATTCAATTCCGCGATGGGCTTCCCTACAACGTGGACCATGTCTTGATTAAGAAGATGGTGAAGCAAGGCAGGTTTCCTGCTATTGGCACAGTAGACCGCACGGCGTGTGAATCGTGGGGCATAGGTTCATACGAATCTGAACTTATTGTGCTCGAGTCAGCCACAGGCATGCTCAACGTGGATCGCCACAATCTCTTCAAGAAGGACAAGCCAGAGATTGTCGGGTTTGGAGCCTGGCACTGTCACTCGAGAGACGCATGTGTGTCATAATCAAAACCTGGTACAAAAATGGTAAACCCAGAACCATGCTTCAAGAATTAGAAAGGCGGATATCTGCAACTATTTCCAGCTGGGACAGCCCCTTGCTAACCTTCATCAATCCCCGGGTTTTGAGCACGTGGCTCATGTTCTCATTGGAGAGGGAGAGATGCACGCGCTGAGGTTCTACCTGGAAGACCTGGGATCTATCACCATCCCCAACCAGCCCGAATCGCGTACAGTGTTTGCAGGACGGGCTACGTGCCAGAAGAAGATAGCATGAGGAAACACGTGCGCAGAATCCTGCGTTGCATGTGCTATGCATGGTGACCGACCTCGGCTTGTGAATAGTTTGTGATGGCAGTCAATCCTTCAGTTGTTGAGAATATTCGTGCAGAGAGCCTGGACCATTGGCACAGAGATATCAGTTCGCACGTCCCCCTCCCCGGTCCGCTTGTCCTGGGCGGGGGGGTGCGGGCTTCAGGACCCGAGACCTCAGGTTCTGGGGGAGGGGCGGAATACCATTGGGGGACTGGGTTATGCGGGGACCCCAAAAACGGACACAAACCAAACATGCTGGTAGCTTGCCCCTCAAGCTGTGTTCCCTGGCTTGCTTGCTTCGGTCCGGTGCTCAGGAGCAGCGGCTTGTGCCGTGGGACTCTGAGACAGTTCACACGTCACAGCGCTCCGACCATGACCACGCCTTGCCGTTGGGTCGTCTGAAGGCCTTGGCAGCCGCTGCGGTGGCTGGGGCCGGACTCGAAGTTTCCTCAGCCGCGGAGTTGCAAAATCGCTCCACACCGCAGGTTCTTCTCAGCCTGCGCAAGCGACCCGCCTCAGAAGGCTATGAGGCGAGCCTCAGCAGCCAAGGCCAGGAAGGAGCCGAGTGAAGCTCTTGGACCAACTCATTTAGCTCGGTAGCGAGCCGAAATAAGCCACGTATGTAGTCAGTGTCTGTCCTCTCACTCCGAGCTATGTCCAAAGGCAGCTTATGAAATGTTTTTGGAGCGATGTTCGAGACATGAATGGATGCAATCCGTGATTTGACCGCGGACAGTCTTCTTGGTTGACACATGGTGATTAGTCCTGTGGCACCCGCATGCCAGGCCTGGAATGAGCACAAAGGCCAGACCTGCCGGTGGCTGAATGCCATAGGACGGCACTTTGGACACCTCCAAGAGTTGGTTGAAACTAGGAAGTGGTCCATCGGCGTCGCAGAAAGGATTTCGTAACAGTGGCGGTCCAGGTGGTCTAGTTGGTGCAACTATTGGTCAACCTCGACCAACTGGACCAACTGGATGGGTAGTTGATTCTAGCACGTGCCGACGCACTTAGGTGTTCAGGTTAGGAGTAAATTCGAACAGACTGGGAATAGTTCAATTCAATTACTTAGTCGCACTTCCCACAGGTGCAAACAAATCCTCTGAGGCGCGCGGATCGGCCGGACAATTCACATGCAGTCAGCCTGGGCCTCAGTCCAAAGATTGCAAGTCTGCTGTGCTGACGTGCCACGTGTTTTGGTTGCAGCCGCTCACTTTGTGCATTGGCGGTCACCAAGAAGACATAGGGCAGTGTGCCGGGCCGCAGACATTCCATGGGTGAGTTATATCGATGGTCGATCCTGCTGAGGTTTCACTACTCTTTGCTTTCCCAGTGCATCTGGCGAAGGGTTGCCATTGCAGCTGAAGATTGCAAGGCTATGTATTGTGACAATTCAGCCATGGACGGAATGCTGTGCCTCCACAGCGTTGGTCTGAGGTCGCAGAGCCAATGAAACGAAGAGCTTTCTTGAAGACATTTTCACGCTACTTCTGGAATGCTACTCTGTGACCCGGGAATCCATAGGTTGGACAGCTTGGAGGGGAGCTGAGTTTGAGCAGGCTTACAACCGTAGACCAGACCCCACAGCCAGCTCAGCCGCAGCTCACGAGCCGAAGTGCTTCTCCCCACAGGTTTAGGATGCGCGACGAAAAAAAGAGGATCCGATGAAGCAAGTGCACCTTGCAGACATGAAGGTTGCAGCATGAGGGGTCTTTGTGTTGTTGCTCTTGTTGCTTTTGTTGCTTTTGTTGCTGTTCTTGTTTTTGTTGTTCTTCTTCTCGTTCTTCTTGTTGCTCTTGTTGGGTGGCTGGTTGGTTGGTTGCTTGCTTGCTTGGTTGGTTGGTTGGTTGGCTGGCTGGCTGGCTGGCTGGCTGGCTGGCTGTCTGTCTGTCTGTCTGTCTGTTTGATTGTCTGTCTGTCTCTCTGTCTCTCTGTCTCTCTGTCTCTCTGTCTCTCTGTCTCTCTGTCTCTCTGTCTCTCTGTCTCTCTGTCTCTCTGTCTGTCTCTGTCTCTCTGTCTCTCTGTCTGTCTGTCTGTCTGTCTGTCTGTCTGTCTGTCTGTCTGTCTGTCTGTCTGTCTCTGTCTGTCTGTCTGTCTGTCTGTCTGTCTGTCTGTCTGTCTGTCTGTCTGTCTGTCTGTCTGTCTGTCTGTCTGTCTGTCTGTCTGTCTGTCTGTCTGTCTGTCTGTCTGTCTGTCTGTCTGTCTGTCTGTCTGTCTGTCTGTCTGTCTGTCTGTCTGTCTGTCTGTCTGTCTGTCTGTCTGTCTGTCTGTCTGTCTGTCTGTCTGTCTGTCTGTCTGTCTGTCTGTCTGTCTGTCTGTCTGTCTGTCTGTCTGTCTGTCTGTCTGTCTGTCTGTCTGTCTGTCTGTCTGTCTGTCTGTCTGTCTGTCTGTCTGTCTGTCTGTCTGTCTGTCTGTCTGTCTGTCTGTCTGTCTGTCTGTCTGTCTGTCTGTCTGTCTGTCTGTTTGTCGTTGTTTGTCGTTGTTTGTCGTTGGTCGTTTTTGTTTGAGTTCAGGGTCCAAGCTTGACATGTTCTGGTCCCATCACGCACTGAGTAGCTTTGAGCTTAAGAGGTGAGGTTGACACCAGCACAGGTGCAGTCTTCTATCGAGAACGCATTGCTGGCGTCGACTTCTCTGAGGCGCTCAGCTTGTCTGACTGACTGGCACTGGGTATGTGCCTGAGAGCGTCCAGCCAGCGGCTCTACTCCTCAGAAAGTCTTTGTTGCCATAGTAAGCAATGAGCCCAGTGATTCCCACAATGCTGGGATGTACCAGTTTTTGTGTGGCTGCCAATGACTTTGTGGACTGCCTGCAAGGCTCCCTGAGCATTTGCCCATTCATTCTTCTTTCAGCTTCGCTCCTCTCCGCTCTGCTGCCCAGTCGTCGCTCCACCCTTCTCTCCGCTCTTGGCTCCGCCCTTCGCGCCGCTCTTCACACTGCTCTTCGCTCCTCTTTTCTCCGCTGTTTTTCCGCACTCTTCAAGCTTCTGTTAATTAATCGCTTTCTTACGCGGAGATTCGGCAATTGTGGCAATATTTATTTGTATTCAGGTGCCTTGTTTTCTGGGCTTGGCAGCATGATTTTGCACAGGGCAGGGTCGAGCCTCAAGCTGCCAATGGCCGCATGTCCGCTCTCGGAACAGGACGCTGGAGCTTACGACGTCTCAGAAGTTGGCGCCTGGAGCCAAGAGTTTGTTTTTGCTTGTGAGCTCGGGGAGAAAAAAAGCCAAAGCTACGGACCTCGGTTCTTCAGTCAGCGGCTGCTCAGTCCGAGCACAAATCTGACGCTCCCAAGAAATGATGCGGAGTTGTTGTCGTTCGTGAGGGATCGGGCTGTGACGCACCTGCTGGAGCGGCACCCTCAGCGCAAGCTGACCTCGTGCCTTGTGGCACGAGTTGCAAGCAATGACGCCGTGAACTTCATGGTATCCAAGCGCAAAGGGGTCAGGGGATTGATTCTTCAAGTTCATCCAGCCCTTGAGCAGCTCCACTAGGCATTGCCCGAACCTCTCCTTCCTGGACGTGGGGCATTGCCAGTGGCCTCAGCGCGGCAACAATGCACGAGGAACCTTTGCCGCGAATTGGCCAACTGGTGGCTTTGGCAGGCCCAAGGCGTGCGCAGGTGACAGGCTCCTCCTACCCTTGCTGGTACATCTATGTACATCTTGTGGTGCGCAGCAAAAGTGTGATTTGCGACTGAGGTTGCCAATTGGTAGAGCCGAAGTTGGCACATCCATTTTTAGAGACGGCGCGATTCCCAGCTGAATCCAGTGGGTTGCTCCCTTTGTTTTGTCGGATGTCCTGCACAGCTGGGGTACTTTTCACCCGGGTGTGCATGTGTGTGTGTGTGTGTGTGTGTGTGGGTGGATGGGTGGGTGCGTGCGTGCGTGCGTGCGTGTGTGTGTGTGTGGGTGCGTGTGTGGGTGCGCGCGTGCGTGTGTGCGTGCGTGCGTGCGTGTGTGCGTGCGCGCCGAGCGCGCGAGCGAGCGAGCGAGCGAGCGAGCGAGCGAGCGAGCGATGCGTGCGTGCGTGCGTGCGTGCGTGCGTGCGTGCGTGGTGCGTGCGTGCGTGCGTGCGTGCGTGCGTGTGCGTGCGTGCGTGCGTGCGTGCGTGCGTGCGTGCGTGCGTGCGTGCGTGCGTGCGTGCGTGCGTGCGTGTGTGTGTGTGTGTGTGTGTGTGTGTGTGTGTGTGTGTGTGTGTGTGTGTGTGTGTGTGTGTGTGTGTGTGTGTGTGTGTGTTTGTGTGTGTGCGTGGGTGCGTGCGTGCGTGTGTGTGTGTGTGTGTGTGTGTGTGAGTGTGTGTCTCTCTCTCTCTCTCTGTGTTTGTGTGTGTGTGCCTGTTTGTATGTGTGCCGTCTCCCTCGAACAGCGATTTGTTTTTTTGGTTGGTTTGCGGTTTGGTTTTGGCTTGCCGCAGACTCACATGCCAATATTTTTTTGCGAGAACTGACTAGACACGTGGACATACAATGTCATCATGGTTTCTGGACTTTGATAGCGATGCTTCAGCAATCTCAGCCCATTCGTACGCTTGCCAAGATCCTTCTCAGCTTCTGCGTGAACTTGCGGGAATCTGCCGTGGCCGGCCTTTTCGATAATTGCCCGAAGTTGAGGCACGCAGGCCACATAAGTCTTGCAGAGAGCAGACACACAGTCATTGATAGCCTAAGCCAGTCGTGCATCATGGCGCGTTTCAGGTACGTGGAGATCGCGGTTTGCATGTTCGACATGACAAAATTCCAAAGAACGCCAGACACCCAGACTCATTGCCTGTGTTGTCCCTTGTCACAAGGCTGTGGCAGAGCTTGAATAGCTGAGGTGCCGACCAGAATGTACAGTAGTCGTCAACTTCGACTTTTGAAATAAAGGCTTTTTCTTTTGTAAATAATTTTGATAGTGAAAGCTAACATGAAAATAACGTGTGTATCTAGTGGTCTCGTTTGTATATTAGTTATTTCTGTTTCATGGCATAATTTAGATTTTTAATAAACAGGCTTAGATGATATATTTAATTTCGTTTTTTTTTTGGAATATTATGATTTAGTTGAATTGGTTTTTGTTTGGACGATTATTTTATTGTTAATATAAGAGAAATTAGGATATTGTTAATACTAATTTATAAATCGAAATGAAGAAAATACATTTTAAAAGGGAGAATTACGATATATAATAATATTAAAAACATATTATATTTATATAAATAAATTTAGATATATATTTATAAATAGAGGTATTGAAGAATTATTGATTTTGAAACATCGACAATGTATTATAAATTTATATAAATATAATGAAAATAAGGATATAATAGATATTTTATATTATATTGGATATTTATTTGTTTGTATTATATATATTATATATATATTATATATATATATATTATATTATATTTTATGTTATATATATTATATATATCTTAGACATTGAACATTTTAGGAATTTATTGGTATGGTTATTGAGACAAAAAATGTAATTATAATTATATAAATATTTTAATTTTAAATAAACTTATTTTAAATTAATTTAGAGAAATGGTCGATAATATGGTATATGAATGAATAATTTTGGGTATTTTTTAGAAATTTTTATTTTTTATTAGTTTGATTTTTGAAACATTTTATAATAATAATAATATATATTATAAGAAATTTACAAATAAAATATATAAAACGAATCGAATTATCGAAATTAATTATTAGAAGAAACTTAGAGACACAAAAGACTTAAAGACATAGAAAGATATAGAAATATAGAAAAATATAGAGATAAAGAAATAGAAACGAGAAAGAAAGAGGGAAGGAAGGAAGGAAAGAGAGAGGGATCAAAAGCAAGAGGGTAGAAGGGAAATAGGTAAATAAGGAAATAGGACAAAATGAAAAAGGGGAAAATGGAAAAACATGGAAACACAGGGAAAATGGAAAATTGGAAAAAGGAATAAAGGGAAAAAGGGAAAACGGGAAAAAGAGAAAAAGGAATAAAGAAAAAAAGGAACAAAGGGAAAAAGGGACAAAGGGGAAACAGGGAAAAATGGAAAGAGAGAAAGAAAGAAAGAAAGGAAAAAAAGGAATAAAGGAATGAGAGGAGAAAGAGATGTGAGAAAACGGCAAAAATGAAAATATGAATATTATTTAAATTTTCGTGCAATTTCGAATTGTTTTTTTTTTTTTTTTTTGTCTCGGAAATTTGATTCGTTATTTATTTTTGATATTATTTGCGAAATTTTGGTAATATATTAGGATTTTTTGGATACGAAAGAGATGGAAGAAAACCTTGGAATGAATATAATTGCTTGTTGTAAGCACGATGAATTAATTGGATTATTATTATAATGGCTTTATGATATAATATGATTTCGAGACCATATTAATGCATGTAGGAGATGTTTTTTTTATAGATTGATTGTATATTTTTGTATATAGCAGAATTTTTATATATTGATTGATTATATATTTTTATATTATATATTATTTATATAAATTAATAATAAAATAATACTATATATATATAAATATGAATTTATAATATTTGAATATACATTTACTAAAACAAATTGAATATAATAATATTTCGATTGTATAAATTTACGAATATTGTATATTATATGTATTATTTTAAAAAAGGAAAATTATATTATAAAATATTTTATAAATTCTAGATTTATGATTTATTTTATTGAATTTAAAATTGAAAATTATATTATTTAAATTATATTATTTTTGGGGGAATTAATATAAACGAAATATTATATTGTTTTGAATATATTTCTTATATCTAAATATTTTTTGTTTTATTGTTGTTTTGTATTTCTTTAATAAAATATATTATATATTATATATTGATATTATATTTATTTAATATATTTGATATTCTTCAATATCTTTTTTATTCAAATATATTGAATTCAATATATCATAAAATTATGTAATTTGATTATATATGTTGATTGATTTCATATTGATGTTCTTTCTTTTTCTGGTTTTCATTTGACCCCCTTGTTGGGCTCGGATACCCTCATGAATCTAATTATATATATTCTTTTTTATTTCTAATTAAATTCAATTATTTTATATGGTTTATGATATTTCCTTTTATTTATAGATATATATATATATATATTTTTAATATATTAAATTCTATTGTTGATTATTGTATTGATATTAGATATATATTTTTTGAAATTTAGTTTTTAGTATGTTTATTATATAATTATATATTTATATCAAATTATGATTATTCTTTATCTAATATTATTTGTAGTTTAATTAATTGTAAATCATTTTTAAACATATATTCTATTAAATAGATTTAATTATATATATATATATGTATTATTAATATATAATATTATATATATAGTTCCAATCTCGTATTTTGGGGGTGGCTATGTAGGAATCACTCGCGAATCTCTGGTTTTGAAAAATATGGCTGGATTGAATATTGAGGGGAACCGATTCCTTCGATTCCTTATTCGTATAATGAATGAAAAATATATTCTATATCTTGGAATTTTGTAGATCTAATTTCTTTTTCTATAAAAGGTATCGAGAATCGGCGGAAAATTAGCTAGATACTTCGTTTCTATTCATTTATTATTCTCGATTGATTTTTCGATATCTTTTAATTTTCGATTTTATTTATAATTATATCACTTAACATCATATTCATGAATTATTATTTTTTAAAACACAAATAATTTATGTTTTTTTAACGCATTATTTTTTGGTTTGGGTCCCATTATTAAAATGAATCAATATATTTTTTTTTTTTTTTTTTTTTTTTTTTTTCATTTATATATTTAATTGTCTCGATTTAAATTCATAAATTACATTTCCTAATGTAATATAATTAATTATTAGATTAATGTTGGCATTTGATTAATAAAGGGCCCCCCCCCCCGAACAATGGAGGCGCCAAAACAATGGGGATGTACTTTTGGGACTTCCAAATAATGAAGGGTTTTGGGGCCCAATTCTACTTTAATATTGTAGCCACTTCCTTTTTACAATTCTACTTTAGTATTGCAATCACTTCCTTTTTGCAATTCTATTTTAGTATCGCAGCCACTTCCTTTAATATTGCAGCCACTTCTTTTTTGCAGCCACTGCTTTTAAGCAAGTGGATCACCAATTAAAAGGGGAATGCTTTTGAGCAAAGCAAATGATAATTTATTTTCTGCCAGGGGGGGCTAGGGGCTTGTTACTATTATGGTCCCCTACAATAATCACATTATTGTGATTCTGTGGGATCTATAAGGGAAATTCTTGTCCTGATTGTTTTTTTGCATTTTTTTTAAGCACGGTTTAATAAAGAATTTGCAATTTCAGGGCTGGGGATGGTTTTCAAATTTCAGAATTTCAATTGGCTTTGGGTTCTATGGTTGAGCAACCAATTGAAAGGGGAATGTTTTTAAGCAAATGGGCCACCAATTGAAAGGGGATATTTTTAAGCAAATGGGCCACTAATTAAAATAGGAATGTTTTTGAGCAAAACAAAAGATAATTTATTTTCTGGGAAGGGGGGTTGGGGGCTTGTCACTATTATAGTCCCCTAAAACAATCACATTATTGTGGTTCAATGGGGTCTATGAGGGATATCCTTGTCCTGATTGTTTTTTTGTAATTTTTTTTAGCACGGTTTAATAAAGAATTTGCAATTTCAGGGCTGGGGATTATTTTCAATTTTCAGAATTTTTGGGTTCTGTGATTAAACAAACAATTGAAAGGGGAATGCTTTTAAACAACTGGGTCACCAATTGAAAGGGGATGCTTTTAAGCAAATGGACCACCAATTGAAAGGGGATGCTTTTAAGCAAGTGGGCCACCAATTAAAATGGGAATGGTTTTGAGCAAAACAAATAATATTTTATTTTCTGGGAGGGGGCGCTGGGAACTTGTTATATTGCAGGGCTGAGTTCAGGAGTCACACGTGGTTAAGGCCAATTTTTAATGGAGATTCAAGTGTGAATAGTTGGGCATATTTGTGAATTTGTTAGCATTTAGCATGGGGTCAATATGGATTTGGGGTAATTATTTGGGGAGGAATGTTTTTTTTAAATTAAATTTGTTTTAGGATTTTTTTACACTTTCTTCCTATCCAAAAAACAATATTATTCTGGTCCCCCTCAAACAATAAATATAAACCATAATAAAATAATATTATTTTCTATTATTCCAATACCATTTACTAATCGAATATCAAGATTATTATATATATTATAATATATTATATTTTATTTTTAATTATTTATTCATATATTTTTATATAATTTTATATAAATTCTATTTTATTATATATATTCCTAAATTTTGCATGTATATTCAAGAAACGATAAACAACAACTAGCCCAATCACTCCAACGACGAAATATACCATTTAAGAATTATTAGGATTTTAAGATTAATTATCCTAAATATATATCTAAAATTATCTATAAAATAAAATTACCCAACTACAAATATATAAACCAAATTATAAAAATATATTCGTATCGAAAATACAATCCAAAATAAGAATAACTTACAAATCATTTTTTTTTTTAAATCCAAACCCTAATTATATCAAATATCGCAAAAAAACAATCCTCAAAAAAATGAACTTTAAAGAATTCCCAATAAAAATAATTATTTTTATAAAAGAATACAAAACAATTTCCCAAATATTAATACTATTATAATAATATATTTAATCCATTCCATCATTATATCCAAACAATATCAATATACTTACTTTAAAACAAATAAACACTCAAATTAACAAATTAAAAACAAATAAAAACATAATCCAAATATTAATTTCTACCCACCTCGATTTAAATCTTCCAAATTATATATCGAGGCTAGGCTAAAAACAAAACAATAACGCTAAGTGTGGGAGGGGAACAAAATTAAGGAGAGTGGGCGGGTAAATGATTTACGGCTAGCGGACGTAAACAAGAGAAAAAGAAATATGTGTATATAAATATTTGTATATACAAATATATCCATATTACCTATATATACATAGATATATATTCATTCATTGAGTTTTGATTCTGTAGAAGCCACATATTTGGAGGTCTCGATTCTTTGTAAGTGTTGCGGGTCTTGATGGCACCCTTGTGTTTGGCCGCCCTTTCTGTTTGTTTGGAACACTTTCGTCTGGATAGATTTTTGCTGCGGATGATAGAGGTTCAGGGACAGTGTGATACTCTGAAGCCTTTAAACTGCCTGCAGCATCGTTTTGAGCTGCCAGCTGCTCATCGAAAGCATTTGCCTTCCCTCCTTGCCTCTAGTAACTCCCAGCGCGCATGTCTGATCGATGTCCCAACTCCACAGCGCACCCAATACTAAGATGCGAGCTTGCGCACATGAATCTGATATGATTGCAGAGTTTAAATGTACTTATGCCTCTTTCTCCTGCCGATTTTGCTCATGTGCGAGATCATTGAATCTTTCACCAATGACACGCGTTGTAACTTTGGACATGAGGGACTCTGCAGCCCCAAAAGCATTGTGTCAGAATTAATCACTGCTTCGGCTTTCGCCTTTCAGCTCTCTCTATCTTCCACCTCTCTCCTCTAGTGACGTAGCGAGGCACCCGCTCTGGCCCTGGCCACCTGGATGTGGCCCTCTGCAACTCTGCCGCCACTTTCTTCAGACCCACTTCTCCGGCTCGGCCATTTTGCCGGACAGCATCTGCCACCTTTTCCGGAATGGGGACGCGCTCCGGCTCAAGCTCCTCTGGCTCCAGCTCCTCATCCTCCCAGGTTGGCATACGCAAGGGGTCTTCAGGCTCAGGTAGCAGCAGGGGCTTCTTCTCTTCTTTCCGCCTGGGCCTTTCCCTCTCCAGGCGTCGCCGCGACCGCAGCGGCAGCTTGTATGATTCCACATCATGCACCTCAGCACTCCGGATGCGCTCGATGGCTTCGCGCTTGAAGTGGACACCCGGGCCTATCTTGCTGGCCCAGGCCTGCAGCACTTTTGCCCCTGCCTTGGGAAGGATGGAGACGACCTTGCCAGGTTTCTGGCCCAGCCTGCCCACCCTCCCGGCATAGTGCATGTAGGCCGAGGGCTTCTGCGGCAAGCCCAGGATGTAGACCGTCTCCACCCCGTCAAAATGAATGCCACGGCCCAGGCCCTCGAAGCCCACCAAAACCGGCGCCGTCGCCTCGCCCGCCTCCTTGCGACGCTGGACCTCCTGCCACTCGTAGCTGCCCACCGGCAGCTCCTTGTTCTGACCGCTGCGGGCGCGCTCGTTGAGCTCCTGGTGCCGCCGGCCCAGCTCCACCGCCTTGTCTTGCTGGTCGTAGTTGTACTTGATGGCCCAACGGCTCGGCCAATCCTGGTCTTGTGCTCATTCTTTTTCAGCCGCCCATTGTTTTTTTTTTTTTTTTTTTTTTTGGGGGGGGGGCGTATGGCGACTCATGGGTCCTGGAACAGCCGGCTTACGCGAAACATCTGGCAAACGCTTTCCTGATTTGGCCTCCGCTTTTATTTCCCGCCTTGGGATCCGTCCACAAGGACTCATGCACCGCCTCTGCCTCATGGAAGCCCCACTCGTGCAGCATTCTCACCGCTTCCCGCACGGTGACGCCCACGGAGCGGCAAATCACAAGCAGCGAAGAGCCGCCTTTGCGGTTCCTGACCCAGGTTCTTGATTCTTGATTTTCAAATTGGTATGGGTCAAAATCAAACCACCAGGGCAGGTTTTAGTCCTTGGTTTCATTTACCAGGGATCCATTTTGGGCACCTATTTTTGACCCACAGCCAAATGGGCATGGTTTGAACACACCCCGCTCAAAGCAGAACCCATTGGAGACACGTAAGCACAAACTTCAAAGCAGTTCAAACGTACATGGAGCTTGAGGAAGAGCTTGGGGATGCTTGAATACATATTGAGGAAACATCTGGCAGCTGGCATTGCTAGATAGCTTGATCCAAAAGATTCGATGACAACAAGAAGACACGCGAGCAGTTGCCTGACATACAGCCAGGTGCCAACACCATGTGCAGACTGGAACGTGAGCGCCTCAAATTTTGGGGAACCATGGCGTGCAGGAGCACAGCTTCAAGCACTCAATGCAACAGGAACGTCCACACCACTCCCAACAACTACGCAAAAATGCGACCTCAAGAAAACCGAAAAGCGGGTCAGCTGGCCTTGGGAGTCCCATCATTGCGTCGCCCCTCGCCCGCCTCAGCGCATCGTGCAGCCCATCCAGCATGGCGATGGCCTTCTCTTTGGCCACCGGCCGCTGCCCCATGCCTCTTTGCCCATTCAGTGATTTTACCTGTCGATCGGTCTGCCGCAAATCGGAAAACATGTCTTTCCATTGAAATGGGCATGGGTCAAAATAAAACCACCAGGGGCCCGCAGGTTTTAGTATTTGGTTCCATTTACCAGGGTTCCATTTTGGGATTATGACCCACAGCCAAATAGGACCGCCCGTGTTTTTGCCAAACCACCAAACTTAGGTCAACTGTTGGCGGCCTGCCTTCAGCCTGGGCAGCCCGCCATAGGCATATGGCTTGCGAGTCCAGTGCTTGTTGCTGATGTTGGTGTCGGTGTCTGATGGAATCACAGGCACATAGCGATGCTTGATGTCTAGCGGAAGAGTTGGCATCATTGGAACGGACTGCCATTCAGCCTTCATCATGGAGATGGGGCGCATGAATGGAGGAGGCTTGTTGTACCATCTTCCAAGCGGGTCCCATCTTAGAAGCCGATACACCTTCCTTGCCATGTTTCTGTTCATAGTGGCCGATGCTGCCAAGACTTGCAAGTCGCGTCGCCGCGAGTAAGCAAGAGACCTCTTCAAAAACCACTCAATCACACCAGTATTAAAATCGCCAAGCCTTCCAGACAATGTCTGCTTCTTCTCGTTGTAAATTCTCCGCTTCTTCTTGATCGCCCACTTGGACGCAAACAATCGGGGAGCTGTAGTGTACTCGTCAACTTCATCCAAAACTATGCCTCTGAGCTTGGTGTTCAGCATTGTCACAATGTCATTGTCTTTGTGCAGCATTCCGCCCAACTCATTGGGAGTTCCAATGATGACATTGGCATCCATCACGGCGCTTGAGGGAGCCACGTTGCCAACAATGACCATGGTCGTGAAGCCCTTGCCCTTTGGGTAGAACCCCATGCTGTCAATATCTGAGAATAGCTGCACAGCCAACTCGCGGCTGGATGTGACCACCACGATCTTATCCCCGCCTGGACCCCACTGTGACTCCTCTGACATGGCGGTTAGAAGGGGAAGAAGCATAGCTAAGGTCTTTCCAGTGCCTGTCTGGCTTTGCAGGCAGAAGCTCTTTCCCTTGTAGATGTCTGCGAACACGGCCTCCTGGATCGGCGAGGCCTTCCTAACCCCCCTCTTCTCCAGCTGGGCCACGACGCGGTGGGGAAGCGGCAAATGCTGGGCCAGAGGCGTCAACTTGGAGTCGTCCAAAGACAAATATCCCAAGGATGCAGCATCCGCTTTGCCTTGGTCGTCCAGACCGGTCTTAGACCCTCCCAGAGGGGTGAGAGCATTGTTTGCATGCCAATAACCCCTACTGCTCCTTCAAACTGAAAGGGATCCCCCAAACAAGGAAGCCTTGCAAACCCAAGCTACCCCAGAAAGCAGCAAATGCCAACAGGTATTGGCTGCATCGCCCGTAGAGCAAAAAGGGGAAAAACCATACAATGACTCAGGACAAGCTGCTGATGCCTGGCTTCTTCATGATCTGCGCTGCCCAGGGCTGAACCTCTTCAAGATCAGTCCCCAGCAGTGTCAAATCAAGCCAGCCCCGTCCATCAAGCAGGCGAGCCAGGCTTCCGTTGATGGGAACCTGCGCCGCGACCACGTCACCCGGGAAAAGCTTCTCGGCTTCCTCCCGAAGGTCAGAACTTTGGAAAATCGCTATGCCATCCGCCTGTGTCACTCCGTAGTAGTGCACTGGTCCAATGTCTTCTGGCTTCTCATCCTCCAAGGGCACGTCATCGAATGTATATCCATCCTCCTCACCCACATCTATACTGGCAGGGTCTACGTCAGTGTAGATATGCTCGCCCTCGAAGTCATCCTGACTTGCTTCGACTGTCTGCATGGCGCATCGTGCCACAGGACGGCTGCTCGGCCTTCCAGCGCTTCCGGGCGTGAAGGTGCAAGGCCAGCAAAGGGCAGCCAGTGCCAGCACGAGGCTGGCACACCGTCGCCGGGACCGTCGCTCGCGAAGGCTCATCTCGAGACCGGAGGTGCGCACCCGCTGGAGCCGACAAGCGGAGATACACAAAATATCAGGATGCCAAGGCGACGCTTTCTGGGTGACCAAGCTGAAATAAGGTGGTTGGGGATTCCCCACGTAAACCAACATTTGGGGCGAGGTCGTGTGAGGTCGCTATAATTCACCGCAGTATTGCAAGACTCCCGATGAAGCGCAACCTTTTCCCGCACTAGCATTGCGAGGAACCTGCTGCTTTGGCAGGAAACGGCGGCTGCCCTTGCCTGGCAGAGAAGTCAAGTGTTGATTCATGCAGTGCCAAGTTGGCAAATGGGGATGGCTCCGAATGGATCACTTGGGTGTGGAAAGGACGTCTCTCCGACTGGGCCCTTCTAACTGCGCCCAACACATCGACTAACCAGCTTGGCTAGGATGTGCAGCTCTGCCACTTTCTGAATAAATTGCAGCAACGTTTCTTGCAACACTAGCTGCAGCGCTCACCGGGCCGGGCCTGACCAACGCTGGGTGCAGGAAGTAGCCTCTCCTCGCCCAGGTCATGGGCCAACCATGGCCCGGCTTTCATTTGGCTGAACTGACGGCTTTGGCTCTGGCGGCTTCACGGTGTACGTTATCTGGCCAGCTTGCACCTCGAACGTTCTGGCTGATTGGCTAATACTGCCATCTGCCCGGCACCTCATTCTCAGCGAGGTGGGTGTCCACCTGCCATGACCTAACATTGCAACAATATGCGTTTCTCATTCTAAAATGGCACGGACTCGTGACTCATGCATCTGAGCGCTGTGCAATGGAACCTCGGACGCCCGCTAAAGGCATTTCAATGGTTTTGGTGTGCAGGTGCTGCCCTGCTGTGAACCTACTCAACGAGCGACATGCACTGACCTGAAGTTCCTGCCTCTGCCCTGCACGGATTGTCTGAGCCAGGCCCCTTGTTGAGACCAACAATTGCCCCACTTGCCAGGCCCTGAGCTAGCTGCCGTCACTTCCAAGCAAGCCTGCGGTCAAGGCGCCAAAAAGCAAACATTGATCTCCTTGCTGATTTACAAGACTTGCCAGGGGGATGCGCGCCTGCGGACAACGGACAGACTAGATTCCATTTATGGCCTTCGACTGTCTTCAATGCAACTGCTCTTTCGCCTTGCAGCCGCTGGCGGTCACCACATAGGCGGTGGTCCTTTGAATGAGGCTTCGCATGGCATTGTCCAAGTGCCTTCAACCTCATCGCGACCCTTTCAAAGTGAGACACTCCCCAACTTTGCCCCGGGCCCCCGGAAGCCGCGGTACAGGCGGTGCACTCCCTCAGCAGCTAAGCGCCTCGGAGAAGCCACGTCCCTCGCAGGCGAGGGTCAGGCGGCCACCTCTGCTTCTGCAGCAAGTCCTGGCCGCCCAGGAACACGATCTGCCAGTTCGCGGGCACCTTCCATCCAGAAAGGTGCAGCTGCAGTTTTGTGCGAAGGGACTTGGTCAGGAAGTGGGCACGGTGTGTGTGTGTGTGTGTGGGTGTGTGTGTGTGCGTGTGCATATACAACAATTCAATAAGCTGTACACAGATGAATACAAATATCAGTCGAAGCAAACGTGTATGCATGTGGGTGTTTCTTGGAAGCGGGGAGTGCGACATTGTTGTGGGACCGCGCTCCACATACTGGGGCGCCGGGTCAGATCAACCTGGCGTTGCTTGCGGGATGTGGACCCTCGTTCTTGCAGAGTGCTGCACGTTGGGCGAAACATCTCCGACAAAAACCAGTGGACGTGTACTCCCGCTGCTTCGGGAGTGATTGATTCAGCGGCAGCATCGGCATTGCCTCGCTAAGGATTGCAAACCAAAAGGCGCGCCACCTGCACCTCGTCATCTTCTTCCTTTTCTTCAGTCCGAATTCTGTGTCTGCATCTCTCTCTCTCTCTCTCTTTCTCTCCTTCTCTCTATCTGTCCAGTTTGTGCACGTGCATGCATGCCTGCATGCCTGTATGCGTGTAGCATGCCTGCATGCCTGCTACTGTTCGCTAAGGTTCAGAAGGGAGCGGCACTTCTTGATCGACACCCGGACAAATCGCCTTCTTGACAGCCTGGCAAACTTTGCCTTGTGTAACATCGTTGGCTACCCTAGCGCGATCTTGGGCCACTCCTCCCCCATGATGTTCAGGGAATACGGGTCGTCGCACGCAACATCAAACACAAGGGCATAGTGTGGGCTGTCGACCCAGGCATGGGGGGCCCTGTGTCAACCACATGCGCGCACTCCAAGCGGCACATTTTGACGTGGAACCATCCGCCATGCCGAGGTTCGGAGCGGCCTCATTAACAAACTTGTGGCATTCTGGGAATGTCCCTGCAAGAGTCAAGCAGCGAATCATTCAATCCGGTGAGGGCATCCATGGTGTGGGCATGCATCGATGGCTTTGCCACGAGTGATTGCCATCCTTGTTTAGCCTTGGTCGTCGGTCCGAACTTTGAGGCCTTTCAGGAGAAAGCCACGTCAAGCTGTGGTCAAGGGGACAGGGACGAGGATTGGCTTGAACTTGCTGCACTGCAACTCTTGCAAACAAGGGGAGGGCACAGGCCTCCTGACTTTGGACCTAATCGCTTGGCGCGTCTGGATATGTCCGGGAATTGGAAACAATGGGATGCTCCCACCTGAGCAGCGAAGGTTTAGATCACGATCTACTTCCCTTGCATGCAACCATGCTCCCGGAGAACCGCGATCCGCGCGTTGACTCAGGAGTTTGTCGCTTCCACGTTGGGGGCAGTGCAAGTTCCTGTGATAACGAGGACTGTCCTTGAGAACAAGCGAAGGAGATCGACTCAACCGAAGAAAACACGGCGGTTTGGCTCTTGCGATCCGGACGGTCCTAAGCGGGTGGGGGGGTGGGGGGAGGCAAGTTCACGCTGAACGAAGAGACCATTGGGGATGTCGTCAAGGCAGACAGTTCCTTTCCGACAGCAACCGGAAAAGGAATCGGGAGACCAACAAGGGTGTCTTGCACTGGAAGAAGGTTGTGCCACCATCGGCCCTCGCTATGGCGAGGACATGGACGGCAATTTCTCTTCTTGCATACTTTTGAAAAAGCAAAGGCATGCTGTCTACTTTTGGGTGGACAAGACCGGGGATCAGAGCCAAACTGATGAGGAGATGGTGGAAAAGGAGAAGGTGTGCGGCTCGTGTCCTGACCCTCACGGACTCCCTACGGCAACATCTTCACCAGTGAGAACTCTTCCTGCTCGTGCGCACGCATATTAATATGGCCATGGGTCAAACTCCCGTCCCCTCAGTGAACATCCCAATCCCCAGTAAAATAGGCTCTAAAATGGGTGGTGCACCTTCCCCAAAATGGAATAGCATTGGATTTGACAACCACGGTGCTTACGCCCCAGCATGCTTTCGTCCAACATGCCACCCAGGAGCACTACTTGCAGCTTCATGGCGGAAGGCTCGCATGAATTTGGAGCTTTCACCGTCGTGACTGTGCTTGCATCTGTGCCAAAAGGATCAGAGAGGCAGGAGCTATCCATGGCATGCTTTCCAGCTTGAAGCATGCAAGCTCTGGCCTTTGCAAGTCGTTCTCGCAGCGAAGCAAGACCTTGGCAGATCAACATTCTATGTCATCAAATGGCAAGCAGGGCTGCGACTGAACTCTGGTAAGAACAGGCAGTCATCCTTCGCAAAGCTGCTCGGAAGGAATTGCGGGCTGCTGGGCATGGGCCTCCAACACCAGACACATGTCATCATCCTCGTAGTTCATCGCGACCTGACTGGACGCATTGCATTGCTCGGCTTGTCGTCTAATGCTTGGGGCCCGGCATGCTTCCACACTTGCATGTGCGATAGAGCCCTCCCTTACCAACAACTACCGTCGCGTTACTTTCTCATGATGTCGTGTACAACTTCCTGTGCTCCCCCTAGCCAGCACGGTTGACAGGAACAGCAAGCGTGCACCCGTGTCTGGCCCTACCTGCATGATTCCGTCAAATCTGAGTGAAAATCGATTGAACATCTGCCCCGCTGATGCGCTCAGGCAACAACCGATGCCCTCCGCAGTCAAGTCAATGCCGTGCAGCTTGCTTTCAGCAGGCCTCAACTTGTTGGCGGATATAGCCGTGCACTGAGAGACCTTTCAGCTGCCGCAAGCTGTGAGGCCCACAGGCAGTAGCGCTTCAGCGCGTGCTGCTTCACAAGCCTTGTGAGCTCAGAATCAGCCCCTCGGCTCCCAAGTGCAGGCGAGCCCACCCAAGCTGCGACAAATCGTTGACATCCAGCCTTATTCCGGGTAACGCAACTGCCAGGGCAAACTCAGAATGAGGATCAAACCCGGCCAGGCCATCCACTGGCCACCGAGTTGCCGACATGTGTAACGCCTCCCACAGTGATTACAGGCGCAGTGGCGCTGTACCCTGCATCATGCCTCCAACTGCCGCTGCATGAAAGACCACCGCCTAAATCATCCGAGGGGCAGGCAAGCGCCAAAGATGGCAGCCTTAACAATGCATTCCGAGACACTTTGGGTAACCATCCAGGTTCAAGCAGAATACCTGAAAAAAGGTCCGGCAGCACCGCGGTGGAAACAGCATTTTGAACACATCTCCCAGCAGCCAGTCTTCCACCACATCATCGTAGCTCATTAAGCGCATTTTGGGCAGCAAGGTTCATTGAGCTTCACGGGCCTTTCACGGATCGTGTCCCAAATATTGACGGATGTGTGGCTCACCGAAATGATAAGCATGGGTTAGTTCGATATCTAGCACGCGCAGTCGGTCTGCCGAGGGCGCCCACATAAGTTTGTACAAAAACCGTCGCCAGCAGCAGCACATCTTTCGTCTATCATTGAGCTTTGCGGGGTAAGAGAAGGAAGCTTGATAAGGACCTGCGCGAACAAACTCGAAAAGGGTGAGAGCTGGGAAATAGAAGCGGGCAAAAAACATGCGGCTTTGCGTGCGTTCGGCTCTCCGGCATGTGCGCAAGTAAGCCGCCTGGGGCCCCATGCCTGATGGAGGCGGATGCGGAGCGGGTGCGGAGACCATTGCCACGGCGCACATAGCTACTGAGCAGTGAACCCTCTAAGCACTTTCGCAGGGTCGACACCTTGGAAAACTTGTGCTCTTCGCGAAACTCTCTGCAGATTTCGGCGGGGTCGACCTGCACAATTTCAGTGCTTTTAACTACTTTGACAAAACAAACTTTGCATAGCCATCAAAAGGCAACCCTCTAAGCACTTTCGGGGACAATACGAAACTCGTACACTTTCTTGTGTTTTGCACTTCCTTTGCGCAATCGTCTGCGCTCCGAGTTTTGCGTGCTTGACTTTCGTGAGGTGGATCAAGACAAAAAAGAACAAGAAGAAGAGCAAAATAAATATAAACGGAAACAGGGAAAATAAGAACGAAGAATAATAAGAACAATAAGAAAAGCACGAGAAAGAGAAACGCAAAGAGAAAGAGACAAATAACGAAGAAGCAGAAGAGACAGAACAAGAAATAGAGCAACAAGGAGAAAGGATAGAGACCTGAGAAGAGAAAGGGACAGAACAAGAAGAAGAGCAAGAAACAGAAATATGAATATAAACACAACGAGAAATAAGAAGATAAAGAGAAACACAAATGATGATACTAAATCGAAGAGGAGCGAGAAAGAGAAACCGAAAGAGAACAAGAAAGGAGTAAGAACAAACAAGTAAAAGGACTTCCGCCCCTCGGCTTCGCCGATCACCCTGGTCCAAATGGCAATACCTTATCTCAACATGTAAAACCTTTCAGTCGACTCTCGGCAAATGCTAAGCGCCCCCCTTGCAAAGCTCTTGGGTCCTTTGTGTCAGGCTTGCCTCTTTGAGCGCAAATGCACGCTCTGCGAGCACAGCCTCAGCACGAGCTGCAACTTTTGCAGCACATTGCAGCACATTGCCCTTGATCTGGATGTTCTGGCACAAATGGCATGGAATGTACTGGGTCAAGGCAAGGTGTCTTTGAACCGCCCCTGGAGGTGGTTTCCGTGGTTGCTGGGGTGAAGGATGATGAACAACAAGACCACTATCTTGACCAGGGTGCATTAATCAGGGCAAAGCGCGCTAACTGTGTCGCAGGTGGGGTTCTTAACAAATCCTGCAACGCCGAAGCTTCACCAGCCGCATGTTTTGAGAAGGGGCAGTTTCTATCAACGTGGAATGTTTTTGCCAGGCCAACATCCCTTGGAATTCCACTGATTGCTTGTGCTGAGACACTGCGCGTGGCCAGTACCAACCAAGATCCGGGCTATCTGCACGGAAACAGCCCACCTGAGCCATGCCAAAACTCACACGTTGAATCAATAAATGGACTCATGCTCCCACTGGGCTCTCCAGCGCGGCAACTGCAAATGCCTGGCACAGCAATCGTTGAGTACTACCCCAATCCATTCGTTGGTTCACCATTTCTTCAGCATAACTTCCATGAAGCGCCGCCAGGGCCACAGCCTGTCGCCCCCTTCCCCATCTTGGTCTTGGCTGCCAGGATTTCTGACACCTGCGATGCGAAGATGGATTCGCACAAGCAGCTCTTTGCATGATGCGGATGGGGCGGGAGGGTTTGTGCCACTGCCTGCCTCTCGGCCAAGTGCTCAAGGACCAGAGAGCTTTTCTTTGACATGGCTTTACTTGGCACTCGGGCTGTTGCGGCTTGGCCCTGCGGCCTGGGACTATGGCCGCTCCATAGCCTTGGGCTTGAACTCAGGTGTTCCAGATGCTGCTGGGGATTTCTGAGTCAGGCCACATGTTCTGCCTGGCAGAAACTCATCGCTTGTTGCGGTGCGAACGGACGTGTATCGGGTGGCTTGCTGTCAAGCCTCGGCATGGCATATGTTCACCTGTTTCCGGAGAAGCTGAAAGCATCAGATGTCTCACCACGGTCTGTGGCGGCTTTGTACACTGCCCAGCGCTGCGCCCGACTTTGGGAGGCAGGTTGGCGCATGTGCAGGCAACTCACCTGCTCATGACATGGACGCACACATCACGTGATCAGAATGGCCCATCAATTCCATCACTTCACAGCCCTTGGCCAGGTCAAAGAGTTTCAACTCATCGCCCGCCAAGTCGTTCTCCCTGGGCGTGCAAGCCGCAGCTCGTGCAAGTAGGTTGACGCCCCATGCCTGGCATCGCAGGAGTACAGGCACGTGCCCCTGGCGATGTCCAAAGCCACCTGAGCCACAAGCACCGGGATTTGGCCGCTCTCACCCCATGTGGGCACCAGCTTCTGCGAAGCCAGCAAACTTGTAAGACCCTGCGGTTGGCTGTCGCGATTCACTCATTTCGAGTCCCTTGCGCAGCGCGAGGGCGCGAAGCCCATCAACTTCTCGCTGCTGCAGCACCATTCCTCTGGCCCCCACTTCTCCCTTTCTCTCTTCTGTTACCGCTGTCATGCAGGTGCTGCCTTTCAGAAAACATGCAACCCACCAACGGAGCACCACGACCTACGGAATCCTGCTTTGGAAGTGTTGGCGCAAAGAGCATCGTTGGCCTGGAGATCCCAGGCCCAACAAATGAGCTCGCCATTGCGCACTCCTGCAGTTCATCGCAACTCATTCCACTTCATTGCAGCTCCGAACTTTCGGACATTCACACCATTCACCCTGCGAAGTCCTGCAGACAGGAACACTCGGCGAGGCCAGTCCTCGTGGGTCGCGAAGCGCTTGAAACCAAAGCTCAAGTCAGCTTGGGGGCTGCTGAATGTTCAATAAATCATCAAGTGCGAAGATCCTTGCAACAAAGCCGAAAATCCGGAGAAAAACACACACACACACACACACACACACACACACACACACACACACACACACACACACACACACACACACACACACACACACACACACACACACACACACACACACACACAACCACACACACAACCACACACACACAAACACACACACACACACAC